TCCATGCGGCCCTTTAATGCAACACCTTCACCCCAACCGACGCCCTTTCTCCTGCATACCGAAAGAGGCCAAAGCACGGCCAATATGAGCCCATGTGTTGGGCTACAACGTAGGGTTCATTCCTGCTATTAGCGGTCTGCGAGTTTTGTTCAAAAACGCATGATCGCACCGGCAAGCTGTCTGCGTTCCAGTCTTGGTTAGAACTAACCATCGGACACAGCTATCATGGAAGCGTATGCCTATGGCATCAGATACCTGTCGACGAAACAGCTGACGGAATAAACACACAACATTAAGTGCAGTTGCAGCAATGGTCAATTCAGAGAAATTACGTTGCCCGTACACTCGACCAGAATTCCTACACTTCTCGGATGACGAAGTAAACTTGTCTGCTGACCAATCAACACGTCCAGTTTTGTGCCCAAAAGATCCATCCAAAATGCCATTGTGTGCTGGATACGCCGAGGTTATCAACGCTGGTAAGTTGTACTTAATATCCAGCTACTGAAACAGGAAATTGTGCCACATCCTTTTTGAATTTACCAATTCGTAGTTTGTCTGTTTCCTTTAAAATTTGTGTTGTCTTGGGTGGTGTAAGCGGGGTAGGCAGTTTTCCATGAACCTTACACCGAGATTCCAGGGAAATGGCTTTATGCAAGATTTCAGCACAGATAAATTCGTGAAACGTATAGGACGGTGGATTCTTAAAAATTTTTATATCTGCTTTTTCCGTTGCTTTGCGGTATTTAACAAATATCTGCATTAATTTTGCCTTATTAAGTTCCACCCAAATAGTTTTTAGCGCGAGCGCATAAGCCATTGGTCTCGTATGGCACCGTTTGTTGCTAGCTTGCACTTTTCTAAATGCGTCGCATCGGAAGTGAAAGAACGGGATTATTTGAGAGTATCAAAGGGGATAAAGCGTTGTGATCATCTTTTAGCGCAATCCAGTGTTCTAGTGTTACTGATAATGTCGCTGTAAACTGTTAATTTCTGATGCATCTTCTCGTACGAATGAAGACCGTTAGGGAAGAAAGTAAGACAATCGTTAACAGATGAGTTGAGAAACTATGCAAAGAGCATAGCCGGGCATGTACAGCACATCTTTTCAGAGAAACGAAGAATTTAGAGTAGAAACAAACGCTAGGTAAAACAGCTTTCGATCAAAGCAATTATAGCAAATTTGCCAGATGCCAGACGAACAGCTGGAATGAAGCAGTATATTATGATGAAAGAAACAAAGCTGAGCTAAATCCTCGGCTTCAGCAGGACAATTTTTCGTACTGACACAATCAGTCTAAAATGGTTCAACCTGTATGAAAAGCATTTGTGGCAGTCATTTAGAACAAGGGTAGGAAAAAGATTTTTTTTGAAAAATGCCCACATATCGAATCATATCAATAGACAAAAAACAAAGGTCGAATACAGCGACTGAGTGCGACTGTTTCAGAAGAGCACATTCTGAGAGATAGAAGACATTTTGACGAACCACTGGTTTAGCTTATGCGCTTTTGAAAACTCTCACCACATATGCAGCTGGCTTCGGTGACTGGAAAAAAGTGTGCAGGAGACGGAAAATGGTCGTCACAAATTCATAAAACAAGTTGTTAAACCCAGGCTGGAACGCACCAGGCGAGCCGGTGCGATCATGCGTTTTTGCATCAAACTTTGTAGTACCGTCTCTTATAGGGGGGGAATAGGAAAGAAAGAATGGGTTCCACATTATGCCACCATTCAGCTAGGGACGGGGTTTGACCATTTGCTCGAATCGACGAATTAACGGCCCATCGCTACCCCGCACATTGACCAAGACAACTTCAACTTATATCGAAATGAGATGTATCGACGTTGAAAGTGGTGATACATCCTCCTCCTCCTCCGTCCCCCCTCCCCCCTCCTCCTCTCCCCTTATCCCCGCCCTGGACATGCATCTTTTTGAAGCAGTGATATTGGGCTGCAATATACGGTACAATTACAAAGCGGTATTTCATGAGTACGGTACGATGCGGTGTGCTGTTTGCATAATCTTTGATGAACGGTCGGGTTTTTGAGCGGTCGGGTTTTTTTTGTTTATTTTTTGTTTGGTCGGTGGGTGGTTGTTTTTTCGGCTCGTGGGAGGTTGTTTGTTTGA